GATCAACAAATTCAAGGGCTGATTCACTTGCAAAACAGGGGGTTTCTCGGGCTACTTTATTTTGGGCTTCTGTGTAATTTCTTTTGAACTTATAATTCTGTTACTAGTTTTAAAGGAAAGGTCACTGTTGACATGTAAATTTTTTGGCCCAAGAAGTGAAGTGAATAGGGTCCACACCTACCACGTAGAGGATTGAATATTGAGACAAAGCCCACCATTCAGGGCAATTAGAAAGATTTTCTTAAACTCTCAAATCAATTAGAGAGATTTTCTCTAATCAACTATAGTGGGGCCCAATTGATTAGCAATAATGCCTAATTAGCAATTTGGTTGAAAGGAAGATATGGTAGGCTGACTCAAGGAGGATTAGCTTAACCCAATTAATAGATTTCCTTTTATATGTGGGGTCCGGTCGCTTGCCAAGTGGCACCTTTACAAACCCTCCCAATCAATCTTATACAAAGATCACTATGGTCCCCTTAATTAGAGATCTCAAGCCAACAAACCTGCCAAAATAATACAAATCTTTAGGATGTCGTTCAAATCAATCTTGTGGGGTCTCCATTTAAATGGTAATCATTACCTATAATAGCATCAAAATTATTGTCAAATGAAGAAGGAAACCATAGTTGCCGAATATGGTTCCTTTCATTTTCAAATCTTTGGGGCGGGTTTTTCAAATGTACCTACCCATCCACTATAAAATGGAGAGGAGAGCAAGCAGATTCGGGGGGCTCTCTGAAAGGTGACGAGGAAAAGCTTCTCTGATAGAAAAGAAAAGAAAAGAAAAAAAAAAAAAGGAGAAAGAGTTTCAAAACCTGCATGTTGCTGCTTTCAAGCATTTTGATAGAAATGAAGTTTTAAGATCAATGGTGCTAGTCGCATGCATGTTGGGAAGTGTGCCTAACTGAAGAGGTTTTTCTCCCCTCAGCTCCCCCTTCAACTACCCAATTCCTCTCCAATTGCTTCCGTTGCTTTTGACAAAGAAGAAGAAGAAACGGGCCACATCAAGATCAAGGGGAGAAAAATCAGAATTTCAACTCCTCAACCATTGAAGCTTCGAAACCGTTACAGCTCCGTACAACGTTGGCAAAAGGATTCCGGCCTTTGAGTTGTTGTAACCAAAAGTTCCATCAAATCACTACAACCAAAAAAAAAGAAAGAAAATTCTCCTATCTTGTGCACGTACAATTGATCGTTGCAAGTTCTTTCTACAACTATGAGTTGTCAAGATTTTCGGATTGTGTCCATGACAAGCTACAAGTACAAGTTCGGGTTGTGTCCAAGACAAGAGAATCAGAGGGTTTTCTTTGCAAAAAGCAAAAAGAAAGAGTTTGTATCCCACTTACATTTCTGCAAAAATAAAAAATAAATAAATTTCTTTGAATTTGTCCGCATTTTTTTGTGCCCCAAATTTAGCACGAAATTTGGGTCGACAAATTTCTGGCACGCCTAGTGGGACCTCTCTTTCCTCTCATCTCTCAAGTCAGCACATCAGGTTTGTTTTCGCAGAACTACTGCCATCAAGATCTGATCTGATTGCAGAACGTTTAGCTAGTTGTTCCCAATTTCTCCTTATGTCATCGAATAGGTGGAAAACAGATCCAAGGATTTTACCCAACTTATGGCCCTACATAAGATATTTCTAACACACATGTTTGATCCCTCTCCTTGTCATTAAAGATTCATTCACTTTCTTTTTGACTTCCTTTCTTACGATTTTATATCTTTCCCAGTTTTCTACATTTCTAGCTTTTTCTCATTCTTTGTATCATACTCATTTTAATTTAATTATATTTTGAACCTCTTCATTCCACCACCAAGTTTCTTTAGTACTTTGCCACTTCCTCTTGCTCTTTGAAGGTGATATATAGTTGCATTCAGCTCATGTTTCTCACATAATTAATGAAATTTTTTCTGTGTTGCTGATCAAAAAAAATATCATTGAGATAAATCCATTGTGTACTTTCATTTAATGATCACATTTCACTGGACATGTTTAGCTTAACAGATTGGTAATCTCATTGAGATAAAACTGATCACAATTCACTAGACATGTGAACAGAATGGTCTTGAGATTTCACAAGCATGTCATGCTTCCCATATTTTTTCTTTCCTTTTATTAATAAAAATGAAGGGGGGGGGGGAAGGCAAAGTAACAAATTTGAAGTCCCTTTCTTATGGTGGATATTAACAAAGATTTCAAGGCCTTATAACAGTCTTTTGTTTAACCTGTAACATATTAGAAGGCAATGAAGCATGATTTTTACTTAATTAAAAATGTATGAGTTGGTTTTATGAGATTATTAGTTAGAGAAATGATTTCTTAGAAATAGGGCCATGCCAAACATCATTCTGATTCTTAGAAACGAGAATCAGGGTTTTGTACCAAACGTGTAAAAAGATTCTTAGAATCAAGAAACTCTAGAATCCGTTCTTTTCTGGATAAATTCTAAGGATGAGAAATTCTAGAATTGATGCAAACAGGGCCTTAGAGATCTGCCCCATTTCCCAATAATTGAAGTTTATCCGGAAGGAAGAAACCCAAACAGGCTAGCCACTTACATTGTCAAAAGAGTCAGCAACTGTGGCATTTTTGTTATGCCAATCCTATACAAGTCAGGAAATAAGTTTTTCAAGGATGAATCATCACAACATAGGTCTCCCAAAACCTGATTTTGGAGACATCACCCACATTATACCTTACCCCTTTGGTAAAATGGGGGAAAGCCTTGCAGATTCATCTCCAGAGATTCCAGCCATAAGAAAAGCTGGGGACATTTGAATCCCAACCATTACCTTTTTTTTTTGATAATTATCCCAACCATTACTTTGAAGGCCATACTTATCCACAATGAGCTTTCTCCAAAGGCAATATTCTCCAGATACACTAAAAAATTGTTAACTCCAAACACTCAAATTTTCTGCATCTATTTCTACTTCATACTTGTATGTTCTTTCTTTTTTGGGGAATTTTTATACTCCAAAATCTAAATAAAAATTGCAAATAGACCATGTGAATGTTCTAATTGAAGAAGAATTATGTGAAAACTACTTATCTTAGGGGCTGTTTGGTATAGAAGTACTTATAATATTCATTAGTTTATTTTTTTAATGCAGTTGCATTATCGAATTACTATTATTTGCAATAAGGGGCCATAACTTGGTGTAATGGTAAAATCTCGGGAAGGTGATAAGACATCACCCAAGAGGAAGAAAAATAAAACTACAACTAACACCCAACTACATCACAACAGCCCAAAGCATAACCTCACCACCCCCGCCCACCTTTCCGCATCCCGAACTACCAATACTCCCTCTTGACTCTGCCACTTCACTCACTTGATCAATTTGAGAAAGTCATTGATAATCTCAACCCTGGAAAGCTGGCCATATCTGGCACAATCTTCTTACCGTCAACAAACTTCTAACCTTAGCTAGTGCCCCTCTTCTATTATACAATCTCTTAAATTTATTGCGAGGACCCACCCTGACAATGCCTTCTTTTAGGTGGTAGAAAACCTTGGTTACGTGGATGATATGTGACTTATTTGTAGCTTTTAACTTCTTCAAAGTCACAACAACATCATTAGCTTCAACAGTCTTAAACTCAACCTTCCTACGTCCAATGTCTTTGTCTAATCTTCCAACTACCACTTCAGAAAATAAGACATTGTTTTCTTCACCATCAACTTCCTCAGAAGAAACCCCCAACTCTGTTTCCTATATTACAGAAGCAGACTTTACGTCCTTACCTCGTTTGAGGACACCACGACACCACATTATCATCATGACTACGTGGATCATTTGCCACCTCCTTTGCAACATCCACCACAGCATTGGTCAGGTCCGCCCCAACCCATCTTCCACCCCACTTGTACAACCACTTGTGAATCCTGTACCAGCACCCCCACTGTCAAAACATACCTCCACCCTAGGACTCCCCTATCACTCTTTTTCTCTTTCCACCACTTCAGGAGGTTCATCCACGTCTCTCCTCAAGACTGTCACTACCTTCTCAGCAACCATGCTTCCATCAGTCTCAGCGTCCCCAACAACAGCACCCCCACTTGTACAACCACTTGTCAATCCTGTACCAGCACCCTCACTGTCATAACACACCTCCACCCTAAGGACTCCCCTATCGCTCTTTTCTCTTTCCACCRCTTCAGGAGGTTCATCCATGTCTCTCCTCAAGACTGTCACTACCTTCTCAGCAACCATGCTTCCATCAGTCTCAGCGTCCCCAACAACAGCACCCCCACTTGTACAACCACTTGTCAATCCTGTACCAGCACCCTCACTGTCATAACACACCTCCACCCTAAGGACTCCCCTATCGCTCTTTTCTCTTTCCACCGCTTCAGGAGGTTCATCCATGTCTCTCCTCAAGACTGTCACTACCTTCTCAGCAACCATGCCTCCATCAGTCTCAGCGTCCCCAACAACAGCACCCAATAATTCTGCAACAACATCTAACCTTCTCAGCATAGAGAGAGTCAGACCTCCTCCTTTCTTAGAAACATTCAAGCTTAGCTCTTCAAATATTCTGTTAAGGTAGGAGTTCCCAAAGCTTTTCTTACTGCTTCAACACTAGCCCTCTTTGGTCATCCCTTTCTCCTTTCTAAGCTCTCAATTGACATCAAGTCACTCTTCAATGCTGCCGTTAGTGACCTTAATTGCATGAGTCAGACCATTTCATTTCTTAGCCTCAGATTAATGTCACCTATTGGTTCTACCCTATGTTCTCATGAATAATAATTTCTATTCTATCCCCTTGGCTTTTCCACTTAATCATGACATCAGCCATGAACATGCATTGAATTTCTTATCTCTTGATTGTTCAACATGCTGCACAGGAAGGCATGACTTGTTTTCTGGATCTTCCAAAATTTTAGCTTTTCTGGTAAGTTTACTACCAATTGAAATAAATTAACACTACAATTACTGACAACAAAACGGAAATCATGGAAATGTCAGGGGAAGGAGAAAAGTTCCACCTCAAACCCATCAGTATCATATTGCCTTCTTTTCTCTGGATCAGATAATATACCGTAAGAATATGCCACCTCTTTGAAGAGTTCTGAGGCTTCAGGGTTGCTTGCATTTTTGTCAGGATGGTACCTGTTCATAATTTCAAAATAAATAGATAACACGTATTTAAAATGGGTTGAAAATAAAAAATATATTTAAGAAAATAAAAACTTTCTTCATAGTTCAGCCTAATAATTAAGTAAACAAGAGTGCGATGTACAGGAAGAATGAAACAAGAACAAGCAGCACACGAACAATGGAATGAAGAGTGTCAAACAGTCAATGCACTGTCACCATGGAGAATGTGATTCTTAAGTAACAGATGCAAAACAACAAAAGCAAGAACAGAGCACACGCAAGAATTATCTGACTCATCGAAATATTCTGTGCCATTCTATGAATTTTCATATAATTTTATGTTCCCCTTATGGGACAGAGTAGTAGATCTCATGTGAACGTCATAACGTGGCTAGTTTCATAAGTAGCATCACACTGACAACCCCGTCAAATCGACAAAACCCGTTCCAGCCAACCACTGGAAATTGCACATCGTTCTACTTCGAACACAATTTTACCATTTTCGAGGTCCACGGGGAATGAACTGCTCCTATTTGCACATAGGCAGTGTTCTAAGACACTACCAATTGTTCAAATCAGTTGCATAAAGTAACATCCATAATACATTGATTGTAACAGCATCCAAAGTTTTGTATTTTCTCCCTAAGAAAACTGCCACAGCTGGGATTAAGCTCATGGCTCGACTTGAATGCACACCCGTTTAGCATCCACATAAGTCCTGAGTTCAACTTTATGCCCATATATTATAGCTCGGGCACAAAATCTGATATTTACCCAAAAAAAAAAAATCAGAAGGGCAAAGAAGGGCAAAGAGAACTCACTTGAGAGCAAGCTTTCTATACGCAGTCTTAATCTCCTGATCCGACGCATCCCTTGATACATTCAAGACCTCGTAAGGGTCCCGACGAACAGCTGGCGCCGAAGGACCTTGAATCTTCGAACTCATCCCCGAATCTACAACCAAATCATTCCAAAATTAAAACATAAGCCATCAAAACCAGACCAAAATAACGGCAACAATCCAAAGAAACCATAACAATTAGGACCTAAAACAGCTCCTCTTCTGGAAAAATTAAAGAAAACTAAACACGAAAAAAAAAAAGAGACAGCGAGTTCCAATCCTCTGATCACACGTTCGAGTGGCTCTAACCTCTAAAACAATAAAAACTAGGGTTCTAGTTCGTAGTGTGATTTACCTAAGAACTAGACGGTGGTGGTGGAGAAAGAAACGATGGACGGAGAAGACAGAAAAGACCTCCTCCGTAACCAAACCTTGTATGTTTTCCCGGCTTTTCACCTGCAAGAAATGAATCTTTTTTCGTACCAAAAACATTAGAAAATAAATTAAAAAAAATAACTTTTTTTTCTGAAATTACAACGTCTGCCAATTTGTTCATACTTCATAGACGAGCTGGCATCCTTCTTGCCGTATTGCGTATATTTCCTGTTTCCATGTCAAGTCGCAAAAGCGTGAAATTATTTCCAAGGGGAACTTTTGGAAATTCTGTTCTGGCCTTCTGGAAATTAAAATTTCATTGCAAAAAATAACTTTTCCCTTTCTGTGAGAAGAGAATTGAGATTATAAAAAATACTTTTGACAGTTGTGTTTACTGTTTAGTAATGGGTGAAGGGGTAAAGGGGAAAGGGGAAAAATATTATATTTTCTGTGGCATCAAAAGACACAAAAGTTCAATAACCCACAGACCCCCTTGCGTTGCGGCCTGCGGGTTGATCTGTGTCGAGCGGCTCACCAGTGTTTCCGACCGGTGATGGCCTGACCCAAGTTTGTTTGGCCGAAGATGTTTATATAGTCATAGAGAGAACCAAATGACCCTGATAATTCTGGGCTGGTTGGAAGAGATACTTGGGCTCGAATTCCGCCTTCACCCGGGCAGGGGGGTTTGACTAATGGGTTTTGAGGATGGGCCCTGTTGTGTAGTCCATGAAATCAAACTAACAAATAGATGTATATTGGTCACAAAAACTTGTTAGATTATGGATGATGATGTTAGATTAAAAGTTTTGTTTATTTATTCCTATATGAAAAAAATGTCTAAACTTAAGATTCCTAAGTTATTAAGCAAATGACTTATTAAACATTGGCCACATCATCCCCTACGTGACAGAAATAGTTTTGGTTATGTAATGTTTCTACTTGACGTATCTAGTATATGGGAGTATCGGATTTGTTCTTTAGAGCGTGCCTCACACCAACTTCTGTACATAATGTTATCATTCAATCTCAATGCATAACTACTATACATTGCAAGGATGATGTGAGGTGTGCTCTGTGAGGAACAGATTCGAACTCGTTTTTGCTAGTCAAATAATTTAGGAGGTGTTTTACGACATGATTTGTTTTGCTTTTGAAAATAAAAAATTGTCCTACTAGCAAAAATAATATAATTTTATTGGTGTATTATTTTTTTGTTCTTCAAATCAAAACTAACCACATAGTCGAGCATTCTCTTATTGACCCTTCCTAAATACCAAAAGATCCTAGGGGATGCTTGGTATCCTTATGTTACTAGTAAATGTGTACGTACATTTGCATGTGACAATATCTCTCAGACAATACTATTTATAATTCATGGGCAGTTTCTAAATGGCTATAACTTATAAATGAGTAGTTTCTGAACAATTATGAGTGGGTAGTTTCTGAAATGAGAGTAAATGACATATATCCCCTCTTTATGCCCGTTATATGCTTAGACAAAAAGGATAGAAAACGTCCAATAAAAAATCCAGAAAAAAAATGAATTCGCTCTTTTATAGGTAATATAGGTATAAATAAAGATATCTCGATTGCATTTGTATTTGATTTATGCATTAGAAATTGGAAGAAAACGGGCTGGGCATAAATTACAATGCAACGATTATTTATTGTTTTATTATAATACCATTTGACACCACTAAGCACCTTTAAGTGCGGCGTATGCAAAAATAGCTTTATCTCAAAATGATGTTTCCACTTAAAATGAATTTTATATAACCAAGATAAGATAAAATATAAAATGTTTGTACTTAATAACCGATCGAAACATGATAATAATTTGGCGAAGCTTAATTCCTTCCCACTAACTGTCACTAAAAAAGAATCACAAGGATATACAACACCATGACATATACCAAACATACACTACTTATATGTGGCAAGTAGACCTGTTCATGGGCCGGGTGGCCCGACGGGCCGGCCCGACCCCTAGACGAGCTTGAACGGGCTTTTTGGCCTACGAACTTAACCTCAGGCCAAAAAGCCCGGCCCGCATAAAATTTGAGCCAGGTTCGGGCTTTGCCAAAATAGCCTAGCCCGAGTCCAACCTGGCCCGACCTATAGTTAAACCTAAGTAAACCCGGCCTGACCTATAGTTAAACCTAAGTAAAAACCCTATGTGATGTCTATTTGAATAAATTTTTTGATTTGAGAAGGTCATTGATTCACTTGTAGGCTCATTGTTCATTTAAATAGGGGAAAAAACATCTAAATTAAAATAAAAAATGTCCATTTGAATAGGGAAAATTTTGAATTTCTTTTATTAGGTCGGGCTTCGGGCTTTTTATCAGGGCCGGGCTCGGGCTCGGGCCTAACAGTTTTCTGTTAATAAAGAGTCAAAGCCTGGCCCGGCCCATGAACAGGTCTAGTGGCAAGCTAATTAATTTAGGCGTTATTTAGATAGATTTCTATTTTTGTATTTTTAATAATATTAAAGTATAGAGTACATAAAATGCTTTTAATTTGGCAAATTTTATTTTGAAAACCATTTGAGTAAAAAAATTTGTAATGTATGCTTTCAGAAACAAAAGGACCATTTCTTATTAATTAAAGCACATCCACTTCATGCTTCTGGAGACGGTTTTACGATGATTTGGTGGCTAAGACTGTCAACAACAGTCTAATTCCAATAGCAACAAGTGGAGGTAGGGTCGAGTATTGTATCAGAGGGTGATTGCATGACCACCCATTCGCACGAAAATGGAAGTATTATTTCATTAAAAGCACTTTTTGAGGTTTTTGTACTTTTAAAAAGTGTGAAAGCATAAGCATAAAGTATACAACAAGGTTCAAAGTATCAACACAAGTCGATACACCTGTAGGGCATATCGGCCTGTACTAGTACTTTGTTTTTTTGTTTTTATTTATTTTTTTCGAAACTGGTTTAAAGGAGTCAGTTTAAGGCTTGACTACCCTCTAAACCAGTGTCTAACCCGATACAACCCCTAGAGGGGCGTATTGAAAAGCCATCAATACTTTGAACCTTGGTATACAATACAAACACTATATCGTACTTTTACACATTCAAAAGTATGAAAATATTTTATAAAAGTCTATCCAAGCAGGGCCTTAGAGTTCAAAATGTTTCTTTTTTTTTCCAAGTCCTTGATCCATTTTTTATTTATGAAAAAATTCAAACTTGGAACATCTTGTCATGTGTCAAAAACTCAAAATAAGCCATGTTTATAGATAAAATTTATATTAAATAAGATAGTAGACCTGTTCATGGGCCGGGTAGCCCGCCGGGCCGACCCGGCCCCCGAACGGGCTTGAACATGTGTTTTAGCCCGTGGGTTTGACCTCGGGTCTAAAAGCCCGAGCCCGACTATTTTACGAGCCAAGCTCGAGATTTGTTAAAAAAGCCTGGCCCGAGTGCGGCCTGGCCCCAACCCGACTTTTATATAAGTTAAACCTAAATTCCTAAATTGCCTAACCCTAACCCTAAATTCTTAAAATGTTTATTTTCATTCTCCTTTCTCACTTTCACTCTCAGAAGCAACTCACATTTCTCCCTATCAACTCTCAGAACCAGTGAACCCAATTGCACCTACGAACTCAGGCACCAGCGGCTAGCACCACCAAAACTAGTCGTCTCTCTCTTTGGCAATGATCTCTCTCTCTCTCTCTCCCCCCCAAACCGACACCGTTTTCATCTTCTTTTATCTCATTCTCAGTTCTCTCTCTTCTTAGAACTAGGTCTTCTATCTTCTCAGCTATCTCTCTAGTCGGTGCCACCAGAATCCAAGCACACCATTTTCATTCTGCGAACTCAAGCACCGGCGGCTGGCGCCACCATATCTAGATCGTCTCTCTCTCCAACAGTGAGCTCTCTTTCTCTCTCTCTCTCTCTCTCTCTCTCTATCTGGCATTGTTGGTATCTTCTATCTTCTTACTTTCTCAGTTTCTATTTTCACTCTCAGACTCCTAGGTCGGACTTCGGGCTTTTTATGAGAACTGAGCTCAGGCTTAGACCTAAAAAATTTATATTAATGAAGAACAAAAACCCAGCCCGACCCATAAACATGTCTATAAGATAGTATCAATGACAAAATTTTTCAACAATATACAAGGTGGAGCATATGGCTCATAACTTGATATGAAATGTCGCGTTGATATGTAGTCAATTCAATGGGTCGTCTCCTAAGGACAATCTATTTGACTTGTGTAAAGAAGTCATTGTTTAACCCAACTAATGAACTTGTTTCTTACCACGTACAATAGGTTGCAAAAGGCAAGTATTACCTCCTTTTTTAATTTTTTTTAGGATTGTCCTTTCAATTCAGTAGTATAATTATTGAACCACCTTTATATGTTTGTCCATAAAATAAATAATTAATATATTACATATCACCTTATATGCTACATTAATGAAATTTCCGATTAAGTTTGTATTACAGTTATGTATTCAAAATAAATGTTATATTTGTTATTTTATAACATTTTCACATATTCCTAGTTTCTTCTTTAAACTCCATTTTCCATAACTTCCTACTTCGTTGTGATTTAACTATTATGTTATTAAAAAATAACAAAAAAAATGATTTACTGAATCCGGCATGTGTTTCATTTGAAGGGTTTAACTAATTGAGTGGTAGATGCATGAGGATAGAGAGAGGAGATCATGGTGAGAGAATGTCTATCTATCTATCTATCTATTTATCTGATGATGCACGATCCGGTCAGTCCTAGTTGTCGGTAACCTTGCCTCTGATAGAGCAGGAGATGCCTGAAACAGGGAGGAAACAAGAGATTCGGGGGAGGAACCCGGTGGGAATGCTCCGATGCTCAAGTTAGTACTTTTGAGAAGGCAAGGAGAATGAGAGATTCTGAGACCAGAAGGCACAAAAAAATCACTTACCTTTACTCTGGGGGAAAAGGGCCTTTTATAACCACTCTGGTGCACTCACTCCCAAGCCTTTGCCAGGTTAGGTATAACCGCCTCTGTGGGGGGCAGGCATAACCGCCACTGTCTTCTCCGTCAGGGCCGTCTTTGCAACAACTGAGATGGTAGTAGCAGGTGGCCGTTGGAGTGCAGTTGTCACTTGTCAAATCCCTGATCAGTTAGGTGCACTGCCTCAGAGTACGGGCTTCTTTGCCAGGTACGGTTTATTCAGTCACACGACCTGGAGCCGAGGTGTCGGAGTAGTGTACGATATGAAGTCTTGAGTCTAGATAGGAGTGTGGCCCGGACTGACCCGAGGTGGGTTAGTCCGGGCTTCGCCCTTTGCGGGGTTCCTTGCAAGGCTCGAGACTTCTAGGGAGAGCTTGGG